ATCACCTCTTAACCATCTCTTCTCCAGGCTAAACATACCCAGTTCACTTTCTTGGAGGAAAGGAAGGCTTTATTCTAACACCTATCTAGTATGAATAGCATCTCATAGTCGACAAGATCTCCCTTTTACTTTTGCAGGAACCGAAGCAGAGTTTCACAGTGGACTAGATTTTATTGAGAGGATTGTGTTGGTTTCATTGCACCAGATGCATGGGCATTTCCTTTCTCTTTAGAGAAAACTTTTCTGACTTGATTAAAGGGATGCTTCAACAATGCTTAATTAACTGAATGGAATTTATTGCCAAAAGATAAGGCAATGATCCCTGGCTCCAACAGCTTTTTTAAAAGATTAGACAAATTGAAGGAGGATAGGCCAATCAACGGCTATTAGCCCTGATAGTTGCATAGATCCCTGGGCAGAGGAAGCAAGCTCCCAAAGACATGATTTCAGGGATAAGGTTGTGCATCTCAACTTGGAAATAGTGAATTACAGAGAGCATGGTGAAACGCAGTGGATTACTTTTGGAAGGTGTCGGTGATGTCGACACGACAAAATTGCATCCCAAAAGCAACGGCATGAATGGGAACACAACTACTCCAATGGCAGTCTTATTCCGATGATTTTTACATTGTGAATTTTCAATCATGAATTTTAAATGAGGATTGTTTAAATACGTGTGCATCCAATTTGTCCTTTTAAATTGATGTTTGTCTTAACTGATGTGTTTGTAACCCATGCCATGTATTTGTTATTTGTTTTTGTTCCTTGTCTCAATCCATGGGGAGAGGCAGGTAAGAAATAACAATCACAACAATAACAATTATAATACCCAATGATAGGCTTGCCTTAGGTCAGAAGGCACATAATAGCAACAATTGAAGGCACATAATAGCAACAATTTAATGACTAAATGTTTTTAGTTATTTTTCAGTTTTCCTTTACAGTGCATTTTAGTGGAATTTGGATGCTGATTGTTCAAATGTTATGCACTTTTCTTATTGGGCCTAAGGTTCTCTCCTTGCCCTTTACAGTAGTAACAAGTAATAGGAAAGAAAGGAGCAACACAATGAGCAATAGTTACCTTTTGTTCATGGTGGTGAGTAATGGTGGCTAATTCACTTTTCAGACCCCATAAGGAGTAATGGGAACAAATGCCTTTTTATGCCTTGTCAAACTCTGCATTGTCCCCTGCTTAAGAGGTTGCTGGGGAACATGGATTGCATGGTTAAGGACTGCATACTGGATTTCATGGAGCATTGCATGACACTGGCAGCTGTTAGTTGGGCTGCATCCACACAGAAGAAATAATCCAGTTTGAAACTGCTTTAACTGCCATGGCGCAATGCTATGGAAGTCTGGGAATGGTAGTTTGCTGTGGCACACCGTATTATTTCTGCAGTGTGGATGGACTCTGGGACAGTGAATCTTTTAATTGGAACTATCCAAGGTGCTGAACTCTATCCCTCAAAAAGGATCAGGTTCAATGGACCCAAGCCTATTTGCCATCCTGTTGACATATCAGCCAGCAGCTTCCCCTGTTGCATTGGTCCAATTTAACAGGATTCCTCTTAGGTGCTTATGGAGAAAGAACAAATATCCATTGATTTGCTTTCCCCCATGAAAATATCCACCCTGCATCTCCCCCAAGGCTGGCAATGGGATGACTCTTCCAAAATCCATGCATTTCTGAAGCCTGAGACACACTTTAATCAGGGGCTCAGAACCGTTTTAAAGCACTGGTGGTGGGAACTCAGCATTGGTAGGCAGATTGTTATCAATCTGGCAGATGTGTTTTAATACCACAACAAAGAAAACACAGTATGTTGCATTAAAACATCCTTCCTCCAGGTACTGAGTCCTCCAGTTACTGGCAAGCTGAGTCTCATGAATGCAAAAGCAAAAATAATGATCATTTCCATCTATTAAAAAGGAAGCAGCCTTATACTAAGGCCACATACCATTCACTACACTACACTATTACAGAGCTGTTATTCCACTTTAGAGAGCCAGAATGGTGTAGTAGTTTGAATGCTGGACTATGACTTTGAGGGCCAGGGTTCGATTCCCTGCTCAGCCATGAAACCCATTGGGTGGTCTTGGGAAAATCACATCCTCTCAGCCTCAGGGGAAGGAAATGGCAAACCTCCCCTGAACAAATCTTGCCTAGAAACCCCCATGATAGGTTCACCTTAGGGTTGCCATGAATCAGAAATGACTTGAAAGCATGCAACAACAACAACTCCACTTTAACTGTTGTGGTTCCATCCTATGGGATCCTGGGACTGGAAATTTAGAATTGTACAGCCGAACACTCTGGTGCTCTCAAACTACAAACCCCAGGATTCAATAGGGTTGAACCATGGCAGTTAAAGTGGAATCAGAGCACTACAATATATAGTGTAAATGGGCCCCTGGTGTCCAGATGAGAGCCTCTTCCCATGCGATCCAGAGTTTGCAAAAGT